ATTCCAAAGTGGCTCTTGCTCTAAACTTCCATTTTTCCTTTCAAAATATTTCTTCCATCTATTAATTACTATTTAAAAAGTTATTATTTTATCTTATACATTCAATCACCACAGCTTAAAAAATGAATTTACCCAATATGAATACACTTCACACCAGTACAGCTGAAGATACCATACGAGTTATCATCAATAGGCAGTCCTCCATTTCTGTGTCCCTTGTATGTCTTGCCTCTCTATTTTCTCCTTGATTCCTTTCCTCTTTACTCTCCTCCATCTCCCACCCTCTTCCCATACTGTCTCTAGTATCCGTAACAATCTCCCATGTTTCTAAATCCTCTAATCTTTCCGTTTCTGCCAGAGTGTAGACAGTCGGTACATATTAAGTGGAGACATACAATGTCTCTCTTTCATAGTCTGGTTTCCTTCACTCAACAGTATATCTTCCATATGCATCCACTTTCTATCGAATGCCAGGGACCTGTTGTTTTTTATGGCTGAGCAGTATTCCATCGAGTATATGTGCCACACTTTCAATCCATTCATCTGTCCGTGGACATTCAAGTTGGTCCATGTGTTAATTACTCTTTGCTACCACTCTAGTCTACCACCATTGTACCCTTTTAAAATCTTGCCCTAAATGTTATTTCTTCCAGTTTACCAAGTGATTCATTCTAAATTAAGGTTATAACTATACCAATTTTATCACATCTCTCCCTTGCTCGAACTTTTACCAGGAAGCAAGAAGAGCCTACTGTCAATGGCTTCTTTTCTAATAATCCTATTCTTAGGACCTGAAATATGTAAAAGATACTTTTGCTCTTGATGTTCTCAAGAGGTTTAGTTACTAAGCTACTAAGAAGCCATTGTGTTTTCACCCAATGCAACATTATACTCACGATTATCTAGCCATCTCTTCCCATCCCCGCCCCTAACAATCCACTGTTACTTCATCTGTGACATTGAGTCTCTATTTCACACAAAGGCACTTTCATTGTCCCCATACAAAGCCCAGTCATTTTTTTTTCCCTAGGTTTTTGCCATAAAGTGCATGCGCTTGCCAAAGAGAAGCAGAGAGATAGAGAGGGGAAGTGAGAAATCAGGGAGGATGGCCACACCACAATCCCTTCTCTTCCATTCTCCTCCTGGGCTTTTGGACATGCATACACACATGCCTAGCATGATCTCAAGATGCCAGGTCCAGGACTTGAACTGTAGTTGACCATGTGGGAATCTAGCACCTTAACCACCATGTCACTGGCTGGCCCTAGCCCCGTCATTATTATCTGTCAAGCTTTGCTTGTGCTATATGCTATCTCCATATGAAACCTTAGCATGCATCTCTAAAACACTTTAGAAGCACACATTCATCTTGGCTGCCTATAGTCTATAAAAGAAATCATCATTGATATCATTCTTTTTTATTTTTTAAGAAGTTTTTGCCATAGGGTGTGTGCGCTCGCCAGAGAGAGAGACAGAGTCAGCGAGAGGGAAAGAAAGAAATCACCCCCCGGGGGGATGGCCACACTACAATCCCTTCTTCATTCTCCTCCTGGGATCTTGGGCACACATGCACACATGCATGCATGAGTTTCAAGACCCCAGCAAGTCCAGGACTCAAACCTCAGTCAGCCATGTGGAAATCCAGTGATGTAAACACTACACCACCTGCTGGTCCCACATTCTTCTTTTAAAAAAACCTTTCTTCTTGGGACCAGCAGATGGTGTAAGGTTAAGGTTACATCACTAGATTCCCACGTGTCAGCTGGGGTTCGAGTTTTGGACCCGGCAGCATAAAACTCACACTGGGCGTGTATGCGTGCGTGCATGCCCAATATCCCGAGAGGAGAAGGGATCGCAGTGTGGCCATCCCCTCCAGGGGATGATTTCTCACTTTCTGTCTCTCCACGCATGCCCTATAGCAAAAATCTCTCTAATAAACAAATAAATGACTTTTTTCTTTATTCGTGACAGAGCACATGTGTGAGAGACAGAGAAAGAGACAGAGAGAGGGGAGACCATTCACATGGTCTAGGCATCCCACAACCCCTTTCCTCCAGCCCTCCAGTCCTTTGGATCTTGGGCACTTCTGTGCATGCCTAGATCGTGAATTCTGATGCTTCCATTTTTACATACATCGTAAAGTAAGGCTTTAGCCTTAGTGACAGGCACATGATACATTTCACTGATTAGTTATGACTTTGCCAAGACATTCCCCAAATACTGTCTTGGTCTTATATTTCTATAGTCCTTTAATTTACAATTCTACATCCTTTGGTCAAACCTTGGAGTCTAAGAATGACAAGTGGTTTTCTTCTTATGGCCCGAAGGCTGTTCCATCAGGACCATGAAGGAAACTCCTGGTGCCACAAGCACTGCTCACGTAGCAGGCCTCCTGGTGAAGAAGAGATGAAAGCACGCAGAATGCCCACTTGGCTGGCTTGGACAGGAACTGGCTTTGTTCACGCTGCCAGTTACAATCTCTCATTTTGTCAGATCTCCGTGAACCAGGAAAGTAGGCCTGATTTCCTGTCTATTTTCAGCTGAGTGACTGTTTTGATAAGGTTTTACTACCTAGCAAACTGTTACTCTATTGGTTATTTCTACAAAATAAAGTTGAATTTTCAAAAAAAAAAAAAAATCACAATTTAGAGCCAGAAGGTGAAGAAGTGGTGGTGCGACGGGATCCATATGGGAGGTCCTGGGTTCAAGTCTCAACGCCTCTCTGAGTGTGTTTGGCACACACATACTCACGATCTGGGCTAGCTGAGACTCGGGGTAGATCTTTCTCTCTCTCATGGAAGAAATCAATAAACTTAAAAAAAATAGTAACAAGTGTTTGGAAAACACAGAATCATTCACCTCAATGCCTATATATATATATAGAATTCCTCCCTCCTCCCAAAAAAAAAAGGGGGGATGGCCATGTTGCAATGCCCTCTAAATTCTCTTGAGATTCTGGGTGTGCAACATGCACGCACACACACACACGCACACACACACACACATGCACACACACAATGTGACTTGCAAGCTGCCGAGTCTGGGGCCCTAACCATGCAGCCAGCCATGTGGGACCCAGCTGCCCTAGCCTCCCACCACCTGCTAGCACACACCTTTATCTTATATTCCACTTCATGTAAGTTTTTCATTCTCATCAGATCCATGCAAGTTATTCCCCTGGGATCCTAGGAGATTCTTTAGGAATGATGGCTGCCTAGTGGTCATATTCAGACTTCTGAAAAACTAATTTAAAGAAGTCCTGGAGTAAGAATATGACCACATTTTTTGGGGGGAGGGGAGAGATTTTCACTGTAGGGCGCGTGCACTCGCCAGACAGAGAGAGACATAGAGACAGAAAGCAAGAAATCACCCCCCAGGGGGGATGGTCACGCCGCAATCCCTTCTCCTCCATTCTCCTCTCGGGATCTTGGGCACGCACGCACACGCGCCCAGCGTGAGTTTTAAGCCACCGGGTCCGGGACACGAACCGCGGTCGACTACGTGGGAGTCCAGCGACATAGCCATTACGCTAACTGCTGGTTCCCAATATGACCACATTTTAAGAACAGAAAACTAGAAGTGCGGTGACCCTTGGGGTCAGCCCGAGCCTTTGGCTCGTGTGCAGTTCATCCCAGCTCTGCCACGTGTCTCCTCTGATTGGACTGCTTCTGTTTTAACAAGAAATGCACCAGGAATGAAATGAGAAGACTCAGTGCAGGGCCCCTCAGAACCTGAAGTAGGCACTGACTACACTACGAGGCTCCTCACAGACACCTCTCGTGGCTCTCTCTGAGTGCCTGGGGCGACACGTTTTATGCGGATGGGCCACATATCCTAGTTCAGCTTCCAGACGAGCCATATCAGGGATCCCACACCCGAGGCATCACAAGTCTATGGCATGCGTGCTATGAGCAAAAATGACCATTGAGCAGTTTATTCTTCCTTGTCCTTTTGTTTTGGGGACGGGAAAGGTAGTCTAGACACATGAGTCTATAGGCACAGGGCGAGTATGTGTGTTACGGGTGGTTATGTGACATTCAATCTCTCACCACGATGTGCACTCATCTTTTTTCCCCTTTTTCTTTTTTTTATCTTCCTCTTGTTTTTGTTTTTTGCTTTTTTTTAAACCTCCTTCTTTCCTGTTCTCTTCATTTTTAGAACTAGCCCAGAGGCAGTGGCCGCATGCATGTGCCTTCTTCTAAGAGAAGGCTTGTTTCTGCATTGAACTATAATTCAAAATACAGGGACAGACTGCTTTGGGAAGAGAAGGAAGGGTGACACCTGCTGAAAGGACCACTGGGGGTTCAGAACCCAGATGGAATCTTCCTGGAATAAGGGACATATGCACAGAACTTTATATAGACTCACTGGGGAAACGAGATCCCCGAGGCACAAGGAACCCCAGGAATCCAGGCTAAGACCAATAAAAATAGCCAGCATTTTTGAGTGCTTACTTTCTGCCAGATGCCTTACTGGTATCACCTCATTTAACCCTCACAATTATGCAATTATCCCCATTTTACAGATAAGGGAACTGGGGCTGAAGAGATTTAAGTAACTAGTGCTAGGTCATAGCCATTGTATTACGTGGTAGAGCTGGATCTAAACGTATCCCTAAGCTATCCTCCCTACTCGAAATACAGGAAGGAGAAAAGGAGAAAAGGAGAAGAGATTGCTCATAACCATTGGTCTGTTTCTCTCTCTTGCACACACACACACATCCTACAGCAAAAACTAAAATAAGTAAATAAAAAGTAAATATCCACTTTGGTATTCCCAGTTCTGTGCTGAAGATCAAATCCGAGTATGCCTGTAAGAAAATTCTGCAGAGGTTGTAAAATGCTTCTAAACTCTATGGCACCATTACTGCCCGCACTACCTCCGTACTGCAGAGGTCAGAGGTCGGCCTCTCACAAACACTCAGAAAAGTCTAGCTGTCGAAATGTGCAGACTCCACCAATCTAATGTCCACATGGGCGGTCTGAGGACCATCAGCGTACCTCGGTGGAGGGAAAGACTGTTCAGTTCCTGGGACGTAAATTCACAGATGCAGACAAACAGCCTCTCTCCCTCTTTTAGACTGGGAATGGTCACGACTTCCACAAAACTGCTGGGGAACTGTCCTGAAAAGAAAAGCAAACATACTGAATACTGAAAATCAACATTGACAATTTATATATACACATGTATGCCAGAGGGTACCTGCACTCACCAGAGAGACAGCGACGAGGAGGAGAAAGCACCCTGCAACGGAGCACAGCCGTGCTGTGTTCTTCCTTTCTCCGTTCTGTAAGGATCTGGGGCATGCAAATACCCATACCTGGCGGGTTTTTCAAGCCAGGAAGGTCAGGATTCAAACCACACAGATGGCACGGGGGAACCAGCTCCCTTTACCACAGGTCACAGAACAGGCCCTCAATATTTTTCTCCCCTTTGGAGAGGTTTTTGCTATAGGGTGCGTGCACTCGCCAGACAGAGACAGACAGAGAGACAGAAAGCGAGAAATCACTCCCCACGGGGGATGGCCATGCCGCAATCCCTTCTCCTCCATTCTCCTCTCGGGATCTTGGACACGCACGCACACGTGCCCGGAATGAGTTTAAGCCACTGGGTCTGGGACTCGAGCCACGATCGACTACGTGGGAGTCCAGCGACATAGCCATTACCCTAACTGCTGGTCCCTCAATATTCTTTTAATATTTCTCTGACTGTTTACAATGCCCCTAACTTTTTTCTGAGTTCATTTTACAGGCCCGAATTGAAAACATTAGGTCTTCGGGAAAGTCATGATGCATTTTTCCATGTTTTCTAGGGACAAATGGGTCATGCCTTCCCCAACAACCCACTGCACTGAGTACTTCTAACTGTAGACTCTATGGTAGAAAAAGTGCAGCAGGGGCCCGATGGTGGTGTGCTGGCTAAAGACCATGTTCTGCAAGGCTGGGCCTCCTCCCACGGGGGGCTCCTGGTTCACCTCCAGTGGCCATGATCTAGGGCTAGTTGAGGCTGGGAGTGAATTGTAGTTCGGGGCCCTGCTGAGGGTGCTGTCTGTGTCTTACTTTTTTTTTTTTTGCTGTAGGGCACATTTGTTTACCAGAAAGAGATAGAGGGAGAAAGAAGGAAAGTAAGAAATCACCCCTGGGGGACAGGCACACAGCAATCCCTTCTCCATTCTTCTGGGATTTCTGGCATGCACAGACACACCTGGCATGATTTTTCAAGTTGCCGGCTTTGGGACTTGCAGGGTTTGGGATTCGAACCATGCAGTCAGCCATGTGACATCTGGCTATCTTAACCTCCATGCCATGAGCTTGCCCCACTAAATAAACTTTTTTTCTTTTTAGGAGAGATCTTCACTATAGGTCACGTGCACTTGCTGTCGAGAAAGAGAGAGATAGAGAGAAAGCAAGAAATCACCCCCCATGGGGTATGGCCATGCCACAATCCCTTCTCCTCCATTCTCCTCTTGAGATTTTGGGCATGTATGCCTGCCATGAGTTTAAGTTGCTGGGTCCAGGACTCGAACTGCAGTTGACTATGTGGGAGTCAGCGACGTAACCACTACGCCATCTGCTGGTCCCAATAAACTCTTTTTTAAAAAGTGCAATATACAAAATTAGATCAACACAGAGAATATCGCCATCTGCTGGTCCCAATAAACTCTTTTTTTTTAAGTGCAATACACAAAATTAGATCAACACAGAGAATACAATTCATTCAATAAGCATTTTGGGGCTCCACTGTGCAAGGTGCACAGGGAAACTAAGACATCTGTCTCCATCTTCAAAGACCTGGAGATCTGGTTCCAATGTAAATGATACCTCAGTCCCGAAATCCAGCGCTCCACAGGTACACACATTGCTATGGAAGTTGAGGAGGTAGAGAGAAAAAGAGAAAAAGACAGCGTGTGGGCCTGGAGGGTGGGTGCTCAGGAGGTGTGGGAGGGAAGGCCAGCGAGTGTGCAGGAGTAAGAAAGTGTGGCGAGTGCCACCTTCTAGATCTCTCCTGCCTGTCCAGCTCTCTCCAGACTCGCCACCTTGTCCGAGTCACCATTACGTCCCACCTAGGTGACTGCACAATGTCCTAGCTTGCCTCTCTGCCTGCCATTGTGTCCCCTCCTATCATTCTTCGGTCTAGAAGTGCAAACTTTCTAAACTATAAATCTGCTCATGCTTAAAGCATCTTCGGTTTCCATGTCCTATCTCCTGACCATGGCACACGCTGTCCTCCGTAACTCTGCTTCTCGTCACCTCTCCGGCCCATCCTCCCCCTTCAACTACTCAGACCTTCTGCCATCTGAACCCTTCTCGGTCCCTCCTGTGCTCTCCCACCCCAGGGCCTTTGAAAAGTAGCTCTCTCTGCCTTTCCTGTTTGCCTCGTTAACTTCTACTCACCGTTTTTGTCTCAGCAGAGGCATCATTTCCACTGGGAAGTGATCTATTTACCTCCCAAATACGGGTGGAGGGGCAGAGGCTCTCTAAGGACTGTCATCCACACCCCAAGTCAGACTCACATAACGAATGCAAGTTGTGGGCTGGAGTAACACAGGCGCATGCCGGGTGGAGAAAGCCACCATTCCCCAGGCTCATTAATGACGGAAACCGACCTCACTACGTATCACAAAGACTAACAGAATGGTAACTAGTGGGCTGGCCTGTGGTCTGGTGGTCAAGGAAGCTGGATCCCGCATGGCCAGCCATGTGGTTTGAGCATTTAAGAAACATGCCAAGTACATGTGTATGCATGCCCAAAACCCTAAAAGGAGGGAAAAACCGAAGGGCGATGGTAGTATGACATTCAACATGGGGGGGATGGCCTTCTCACTTTCCCCACCTCTGTTTCTTTAGCAAGTGCAAATATCCACTGGCAAAAAATGTAAAAAGTGAAATAACCAAAAAAGCAGGAAAGGTAACTGGGTACATGGAATGTGGGAGGTTGGTAGCAGGCAGGGTAGAGTGAACTTTAAAAATGTGGGCTAACCATGGATCTAGAAAGGAGTAAATAGGGTGACTCATGCTTCCTTGAAGCAAATAAAGGTAGAAAATGTCAAAAACAAAACAAAACAAAAAAACGGCTGGCCCCAGGGCCAGCAGATGGCATGGTGTCTAAGGCGCTGGACTTGTCAACCGTGGTTCAATTCTTGGACCCACACCTTGAAAATCACACCAGATGCATGTGAGGATGTGCCCAAAATCCCAGGAGGAGAATGGAAGAAAAGGGACTGCAGCATGGCCATCCCCTCTGGGGGTGATTTCTCACTTTCCCTCTCACTGTCTCTCTCTGTTTCTCTCTAGTGAGCACACGCCCTATGGCAAAAACCTTTAAAATAAAGGGGGTGGGGTGGCCAGCCCCATAGCCTTGTGGTTAAAGGAGCTGGACCCCTCAAAGCTGACTGCAGTTCACATCCAGGCCCCAGGGGCTCAGAAACATGCTGGGTACGTGTGCCCGTGTGCTCGAAACCCCAACAGGATGGAGAGCTGGGGGAGAGAGGGCAGCACGGTCACACCGCCAGAGGGTGCTCTCTCTCTCTCTCTCTCTCTCATAGTGTGCTCTCTCTCTCTCTCTCTCTCTCTCACTCTCTCTCTCTCTCTCTCTCTCTCTCTCTCACTCTGTCTCTCACAAATACATGTACCCTCTGGAAATTAAAAAAAAAAAAAAGTTAAAAAAGATAGCCAAAACAACCAAGGCTGAAAACAACTTATGCTCTAAAATGAGAGAGAAATCTGGATGGGTTCTGAAGAGAGGAATAATGAATATTTTGAGGAGAAAAACAACAGTCCTAAATACAAAGGATACAGACACGGGAAGGGAACAGGAAGGAAAAGGAAAGGCGAGGACAGAAATCGGCTGGGAGCAGCGGGTGTCTAACCGTTCAGCCTGCTGGAGGAAAGGACGGGGAGAGGGAAGGGCCAGGAATCCTCACCTCACTGGCAGAGCGCACAGGACAAACGTGGAAGGAAAATGTGAAAGGGTCCGGCCTCCCTTACCCTCTACTTTTAACACGGAAAGAAGGGAAGGCCTGTGGCCCATTTTGTGTGTGAGGAATTAAGGGCCTCTCACCTGTGACATCCTCCTTCTTTCCTAGAAGCCAGAATTCATCAACCACTGCCAACACCTCAATAACATCTCCCACGAAGAGCGGCAGTTCTTCCGATACGCTGGGGCAGAAGTCAAAGATGGCTCGGACCACTGACCCAGTCTCCATGTTTGTACCCTGGGAAGAAAGGTCGAAAGAAACAGAAAACATCAATATTTAAGACACTGCCCT